AAAAAAAAGCCGAAATTTTTGGAGAATTTTTGGGAATTTTAGAGAGTTTTTGGAGAATTTAAGACATTTCTAAAAGAATTTTAATTTAGAGCTTTTTTCGGGGAAATTCCGGAAAGACTTTACGGCAATATTTTGGGAATTATGCAATAGCTAAGCATATTTCTAATAGACCATTTTCGATATATTAAAAATCATACGTGGCTCTGAGGTTTGGGGGAATAAAAAAAAAAGAAATGTATGTATAATATTCATTGCTGAGCCTCAAGATGATTTCTTTTGTTTTATTCCCCCAAGCCTAGCAGCAAAATGTGAATTTTACTGTAAGCCTCTACAGGCAAACTGGCTTAATACTAAATTGTATCGAGCTAGTCATGTCAACAACATTCCTCTGAGCCGCCGATCTGATATGTAGTACGTAAGAGAGGATACGCTTCCCGTTTATATCTCTTTTATTTTCTTTTACGACCATTTAACGAGAAGCTGTTTCTTTTACCCACCAAACTTGAGGTTAGAATTAAATAGCGGTTAAATTCGCTTCGGTATGGGCATGAAAATTTCAATATCAATCATTTCAAAAAAAGGAGATTTATAGTAAGTGATATTAGTTGAAACATACCTGTTGAAAAAGGAAGAAGAAAAAAACGCAAACTTACAAAGAGACGGAGAGACAGACAGACCCCGAGCCCAGCCCCGGCCCTGGTCCCAACCACGAGCACCGGCCTCGACCCTGATTGAGTCTACGTTTTGCTACATGAGACCTGACGTACAACTTTTCTTTACTTACTAAATGGGTTTTTGACCAAGATTGAGTTAGCTCGAATATACTCATGTATTTCAAAGAGCTGCAAAAGTGTTTCTTCTCGCGGCCAGTATTTTCCTTTTTAGTAAAGTGAATTATGAATTACAAGTGCTTGTGTGTTTTGTGACATGTGACAATATTTCATTTACGTCTTCCCATGTTTCTGAACTTACTCAAAGAACACTTGTAATTTCCACTCGACCATACCGATTTTAAGAAAAATAAAAGAAGCAACATTTGAAATTTTTAGGGTTATTCTTAAATAGTCAAGTTCAAGTTCAATTTTTTTAGTCCTAAAAAAAGTTAACTGTACTTTTTTTTTTTCTAGCCAGAAAATTAGGGTAGAAAGTGTCAATTATTGAGTAAGAATACCAACTGGTAGGAGGCGAACCAGTTGGCTGTTTAACAACAAATTGAATACAGCCCACAAAATTACTAGAATTTATCCTTTACCTTATAAAGCCAATCGTCACTCAACCTTTTCTAATGGCTAAAAGCTCCGGTGATCTAAAGCAGGATGGAGAAAGCTTATGGCTTTCTGTAGTTTTAAAGCTGAATAAATCCTCGGTAGTCTTGATATAAAATATCGCCCATGTTAGGTAATTCTGTTTCCGGAATCAGGGAGATTTTGTGGAATCCGGAATCCTTGACTTTGGAATCAATAATTCAGCTCAAGTTATCCAGAATCCTGCCAACGATTGGAATCCGGAATCCAAGTTCCACTGACACGGAATCATACAGATATCCAAAGAATGGATTAAAGGGGCTTGCTTGAAGATTTATCTGACAGTGACGTCGATTGCATGTGGTACCATTAGACTTATACAAGACAATTTGAGGTACATTAAGGACTGGGTCATCTAAAGTACGTAAAAAAACATGAAAAAATGAAGGGGGGAGGGTGGTCTATCTATGTAAATATTCAACCTATTGACACGAAACTTACGTGACAGCTTACAGGCCTTGTAAAGATGAAGTTTGATTGAAAGTTGTCAAGATAAGGATCACGTGACTAATTAAGGCATCCAATTACCATGTTAAACTTCAGGCCATCTATACAGGAGAACTTATGCACACTTATCTTAGCAAATTATTATTAACGCGCGGAAAATGTTTTGCGTATCAGGATGTACACGAAACTAATTAAGGGTATGAAAGTTTTAAAAACGTTTTACATTATATTGCTATAGCAAGAAGAACTAAGAGGTTTAAACTTTTTTTATGCGAGATTCGATTTCATTTGATACCTTCCGATTTCATTTGTCATTGGTGATAATGTTTTATAGTTTTGCTCCCTTAAAAACAAATATGAATAAAGAAATATATATATATACTGGTTTTATAGTCACCTTAGAAATTGACCTGGGAGGAAAAAAAATTAGCCGGGTAGAAACAAATTAAACTATTCGTGCCAGGTACCGGGAGGTTAAATTATCACTGGGTAGCCGACTGATTAAACCGCTGGGTAGGGTTTCACTGGCTCTGTTACAGAGGTGTGTAATGTGTTTTATACAATAACCATGAAAACAGCTTTGAAAAAATAATAATGCGAATTACCTTGAGATAAAAAGTAAAACCAAAGAAACGTTTGTCTTGTGACTCGTGTTTTAAACCTTTTAATAGTGTCCTTCGCATGATTTGACTTAACGAAAGTTTGAAGATGGAGGCATATGACTAGAATAACAATTCCCCCACTTCTGTGAGCAAAAAAGATGGCAAAATCGGTTGTTAAGTTCTAGGTACAATACTATATTTAGAAGGGTTATTGACAAAGTCCATTTAATGTGCACCTCGCGTGATTATGGCCTGACACAACATCAAGGACTATAAAAGACATAAAGGCATAGTGTTTAATCAACAGTGTGATTGGACTCACAAAGTGAAACCTAGTCGAGCGAAGCTTTACCTAAAAACACTCAGCAAAATGTCTGCACCAGGAAAGGTAAATATCACATAGTTGGATCTAAACTGTGTTCGAAGAGCATCATTCAATCTGATTCATTTTCCATAACTATTATTTTTTAATTGTTTATTTTTAATTATATTGTATTTTTATTCTTTTATTATTGATTTATTAATAAAAGAACAAAAAGAAAAATTAAAGACAATTTTTTTTTGTTTTTCAGAAAATTACGCAAAGCGACGATCTTACCCGTCCAATAAATGTCGGTCTACGAAAAGATGATGACAATGAAGGTAAAGTCTCTTCTCTTCTCAGATTTTTCACTTAAACAAATCAAAGCAGTGAGTTTTGCCTGGCTTTAAGATATGAAGCAAAAGAAATGAAGGTTTCCCTGTCCTGCAATGCGATTTCTTTTCGTTTTTTAACCTTAGCCATAAAGCCAAATGAAAGTGAATTCCAGTTTTTGAAAATGAACCTAGCGAAATTTGCAGCCCTCTGAGTGAAAAAGTGCATAAAGGTAGGTTTTTTTGCACTCGATTAGCTTGAAAATCACACAAGAAAGGAAAAAGAAAGGAAAAATAGAAAGTAGTGAAGACGAAGAAAGCAGGAGAAGATAATAAATTTATGGGTAAATTCTTAGTTTTTATATTGGCTACTTTTTTTGGCCCCAAAAAACTGCCTGACAGAAGAGGTTTATTTAGCGGTAATCTTCTCTAAAATCCCGCTAGATATAGAAATGTCAAAACCTCTTGCGTCATTTTATCACTATTATCATTTTACATTCTAGGCCAGCTTCTGTGTGAGGACTTCAAGATCCAGGTGCTTCCTGCAGCCTTCTATCTGAATGAAAATGTTAATTTCAAACAGTCTGCGGCTTCAGGAAAAATGAGCACTCAAGGTTGTTGTTGCTGAGTAGTGCAGCATCCAGCATTGTTGCAGCGTGATTGATGTTGTTAAGCAGCAATTAACTACTGTTTAATATTTGCTCTTTTCTGATGTAATCTGTTAGCATGTATAGTTTAAGGCTTTTGCATTGAAATTTAAAAGAAAATATTTATTTTATAAGCCACAGTTCAGATGTATGTAGTTAATTAAAGGAGTCTTATATTGTGATGAAGTTTTAAGGTCTAATCTCAGAAAAAAATTAAAAAAAACCTTTAAGATCATCACAAGCTGCTTTTGAATTCTTCATCTATATGACACTTGGGTGATGCGTTTTCTATTCACAAGGGAAAGAACAATAGGAATGAAATTATATATGGTCCCAGTCAGGGTAAGGGTTGGCCATCTCGTTTCTGCAGGAAAAAAGGCATACCATTCAAATTTTCAGCCAAAAATACTGGTGTGGCATCCTTGAAAAGTGAGAATAAATGTACTTTAATAGGTTTGAAAGTTTCCTCTAAAAAAATCAGGTTGAAACATCTCAATGTCTTCACTGAACTGAGATTATTCTGCCAAAAGTTTAAAGGAAAAAATGAGGGAAATAGTCATACATTAAAGCTGAATTCCAAATGAAACCAACGTGAACGGTTGTCTACAGCCAAACAGGATATATGCGAGGACGAGCAAAACATAGCAGCATGGGCGAGGGGCCTTGCCCTCCCGACCCACGTTGAAATTTTTAGTTCCTTCTTGCCCCAGTGCCCTCACACGTCTCTTGAGTTTCTCCCGCTTGAGTAAAAGGAAACAGAAACTTCTTGACTAGTAAAGGGGCCTGGGCCGAGGTCTGTTCTTGTTGTAATTGTTTGCCAGTGATGACACCTTAGTTATTTTGGTTACATTTACGTTTTTATCGATTTATAACCTAATTCTGAATTTCACCTTTATATCCTTTACTGGCAAACTGGCTTAACACTAAATTATATCAAGCTAGTCGAGTCAATAACATTCATCTGAGCCGCCGATCTGATGTAGTAGGTAAGAGAGGATAGGATTTCCGTTTTGTAGCTCTTTTATTTTCTTTTAAGACCAATTAACGACAAGCTGTTTCTTTTGTCCATGCACGAAACTCGTGGTTAGAATTAAATAGCGGTTAAATTCGCTTCGGTATGGCATGAAAATTTCAATATAAATCATTTCAAAAGAAGAGATTTCAAGCAAGGGATATCAGTTGAAACATACCTGTTGAAAGAGGAAGAAATAAACGAGCACAGGAAAAAAAACAGTTTTTTCAAAACTTTACACTCTGCAGAGCGTTTTTAAAAAGCTGTTTTTGGAGACGAAAATGAATCAGTAGTCAAGAGTTTTATTTCATCAATAATTTACATGACGCCCAATAGCACTGAGTTGTTTTTGTCGAACAGAGAACATATTAAAGCAGAAAGTCAGTTACTGTCATTGAAAATTCTTAATAAAGAAATGTAACTTTGGATGAATCTTTATAAGGATATATATTTAAAGCTAGGCCAATGTTTTATTGACTTAATAAATTATGTAGAGCTTCACTCCAGTTTGTGTTTAAAAAAAAATGAAAATCTGGACTTTAAATTAAGAAAAAGAGACTAGAAAAAAATGATAATAATCAAAACCAGAGTGCCGGGTGCACACATTATCTTACAAATAAACAGATACTTATACTCAGTAATTATTCACAAGTTTTTCTTAGCGAATAAAACCCCGAAAACCCTTTTTTTTTTCTTGGGAGAAGCTTAGGGATTACAGTCTGTTTCAGCTCTATTATTTTCAGGGGCTAGTTAGAAGCGAAAGGGAAAGGCGATAGAAACGACAGCCAACTAAGACTGCAAAAAGCAAGCAGGGGTAACAAATGTCAATAAATTTGACATAGACTTCCTAAATGATAATGCAGGAGGAAGAATATCGTTCAAGATCTATATGAAGTGCTTTTGTTGACATCAATCGTTGAACTAAATTGAAGAGAAATCACAATACTTTTAATGGCCACAGAGGAGGAGGTTAGCACTGTCTTGCAGACTTAAACAAAGGACGCAGCTCTACTATGTCTTACAGCTGGTCGGCAGCCATCACAACTGAACCCTGTTTCAACTCACATACAAACTCTGTATTCTTTAAGGGTATGAACGGTTTTGAAAACATTTTACATTATATTGCTATAGCAAGAAGAACTAAGAGGTTTACACTTTTTTTATGCGAGATTCGATTTCATTGATACTCTCCGATTTTATTTGTCATTGGTAATAATGTTTTATAGTTTTGCTTCCTTAAAAAGAAATATGAATAAAGAAATATATATACTGGTTTGGTAGTCACAATAGAAATTGACCAAATTGACCAAAAATTAGCCGGGTAGAAACAAATTAAACTATTCGCGCCAGGTACCGGGAGGCTAAATTATCACTGGCTGGGACTAAATGAAACCACTGGGTAGGGTTTCACTGGCTCTAGCTGTTACAGAGGGGTGTTTTGTAATGTGTTTTGATACAATAACAATGAAAACAGCTTTGAAAAAATAATAATAATGCGTCTTACCATTAGATAAAAAGTAAATCCAAAAAAAAACGTTTGTCTTGTGACTCGTGTTTTAAACCTTTTTATAGTGTCCTTCGCGTGATTTGACTTAAAGAAAGTTAGAAGATGCAGGCATATGACAAGAATAACAATTCACCTACCTCTGTGAACAAAAAAGATGGCAAAATCGGTTTGTTAGGTTTCTTTGGACTATATATAGAAGGGTTATTGACAAAGTCCATTTAATGTGCACCTCGCGTGATTATGGCCTGACACAACATCAAAGACTATAAAAGACATAAAGACAGGGCGTTTAATCAACAGTGTGATTGTACTGCTCACAAACCTTATCAGGCGAAGCTTTACCTGAACTACAAACTCTCAGCAAAATGTCTGCACCAGGAAAGGTAAATATCTCATTAGGTTGCCTAAACGTGACAATATCATCGTAATTGGATCTAACCTGTGTTCGAAGGACATCATTCAATCTGATTCATTTTCGTTTATTTTTTTAATTATTTATTTTGGATTATATATTTTTATTACTTTATTATTTTGGACTGATTTATTTTTCTGGCTTACCCAAAAAGAAGGTGCCTATGGAATTTTTTAAACAATTCTTTTATTTGTTCAAAAGGATATATACAAAATGTACGTAACGAAGATTTATTAATAAAAGGAAAAGAAAAAGAATTAAACTAAAAGACTTTGTTGTGTTTTTCAGAAAATTGCGCAAAGCGAAGATCTTACACGTCCGATAAATGTCGGTCTACGAAAAGATGATGACAACGAAGGTAAAGTCTCTTCAGTTTGTTCTGGGATATTTTTTCACATAAGCAAATCAACGCAGTGAGCTCTGACTGCAGGCTTTATGGAGTGAAGCAAAAGAAATGAAGGTTTCCCTGAATTGCAGTACTAGTGAAGTGTACTAGTGCGATTGCCTTTTAACCTTAGCCATAAAGCCTAAATTCAAAATCCAGTTTTTTGAAAATGGACCTAGAGAAATTTACAGCCCTTAGAGCGAAAAAGTGCAAAAAGGGAAGTTTTTTTTTTTT